CGAACACTAAAAGCCTTCTTTTCCCTTAAACATGCTGCACCCAAAGCACAAAGCTGAGCAGACAGACTAAACAACACACACAGTGCTCCTTGTCAGTCTTCTTAAATGCCAGTGCAAGCTAAAGCACACATATGCTCATCTAAGCACTGGATAAGACTGAAATATTGTAACTAGTCCTTTAAATTAAAGCCATGTGACTTTAAAAATATTACAAAGCCTGAGGTTTATTGTGAATATAAATACACACACACACACCTTTGTGTCTCTGTGTCTCTCTGTGCGTGCATGCACGCACACATGTATATAATCACAAGAAACCACAGACTTGGGAAGCCTTTGTGACTGTCTTCCAAGGCATGTACAGTACTTCCCATCCACAATCAGATCAACTTTCCTAGTCATTAACCTCTCTTATGAAGCATAGATGTTGCAAAGCCAGATCTAGTCATAAATTTAAAATACTGTACATTACATTTTATGAAAATGAATATTCTGGAAGTTGGTTTTGAGGCAACAAGAACATTATAAATTGATCTGAAACCAGAAATGGATTGCAGTTAACTCTGTATGGCTGCCTCCAATCTCCTCAACTATTATTCCTTTCTTACAATTTTATTGTAAGCCCAGGCAACCACAGATATGCATTCATACATTTTGTCATTGTAACAAATATCTTAATTACAGACAGAAACCAAATTCAAAAGCAGATGAAGAAACAATGGCCAGTATCCTATTTCTAGTCCCCACTGGAGTAGACCCATTGGCCAAAATCCTCTTGCACAGCTACACAAGAGGCATAAATTCTAGGGAGAAATTGCCTCAAGTTAAGAAATCACTGAAGATATTATCAGATGCATACTGGATATGGCATATTTCAGATTTCATAGCCACATACGGTTATTTGTTGCATTCCACAATTATTTTCTCCTGACTAAGAACAGCTGGCATTTTGTACAAAATAATATTATGTACATTTTTTTCTTTTAGCTTGCAACTCCTACATGATACTGATTAGGGAGGTGACTGCTTTCCATGTAGGATACACAGGATTTTGCATGCACTGAATATCTTGTTTCTTGCTTGTTTTCTCTCATTCTTTCTCAAATTGCCCAGAGGGCTTCAGCTCTTAGATAGTACAGTATACACATGGAATAAGTCACCAAATATAGATTGTCTATGCAGCTTATTTATTTGTGAAGAAAGGCAGAAGGGTGGTGGAACTGGAGATAGCTGTATTGTGCTCACACTCTTTAACATTTTCTCAAAGTATGAACCTCCAGTGAGTTTGCTGGCAAAAAAAGCATTCAATTGTGTTTCTCAATAAAACATAATCCAGTCATATTTTTAATATTTGAATAATGTTCCACAAATTCTATTCAATTACAGCCCCGTATAAGCAATGGGAAGAGACCTTAACCCTGCTTATATATTAAAATACTGATGCTGGTAATTTAAAATATTACCAAAACATATCATCATTGATA